GTGGAATTCAGTGGTTTGGACAAGCACTAGAACAGAGGCAGGGGTCTGATGCATTGCTGTGAGTGTCTTGGTTTTCAATCTTTTTATTTTTTTTTTCAAAGATTTATTTATTTATTTATTTATTTATTTGTTTGTTTGTTTGTTTGTTTGTTTATTTATACAAGCACTGGGTACAGTCAGAAGCATGGGAGGGTGAGAGAATTCACCAGAGCCAGAGCGGGGAACAGAACAGGCAGACTGATGAAGAAGTACACTGCTGAGGGGAGCCACGGGCGGCAGGAGAGGTCTGCGTGCCATGTGGGACCCTCACCCGGAGGCCAGGGATCGAACCGGTGCTGCAGAGGCTGCAGGCAACTTCGCAACCCAGCGCTCAACCGCTGCGCCACCGGGGAGGCCCTGGTTTTCAATCTTAAGCTTGCACGAAGAAGGTATTTTGCAAGTAGAAGACAGCCTATATGGAAAAGTACAAAATTTAATGACAGTGACTGTATGAGTCAGTAAGAATCTACTCATTCATGCATGCAGCAAATATTTAATGCTAATATTTGATTAATATACTAGGAGCACCTAGTATATGTCAGGATCTGCAATTCCATGTGCTAAGCAATGAAATCAATTGGCAACCAAACCCTAAAAGATAAAAACAAAAAGTTAGTAGGTTTGCTTGTGGTGTGCATTTTAAGCCACTTAGCGATGAGAGCGTTGGATGAAACAGCTCTGTAGAAAAACAATAAATGTTGTCATGTATTCGTATGTTAGTGCATGCATAGAAAAATTCTAGAGCAACGTACACTACTTTAACACTAAGTGTTAAGAATGGCATCTTTTGGAGTTTTCACTTTCTGCGTTGTGCATGTAACTTATTATACTAAACATGCTCCACTTTCGTTATCAGAGAAAAACCAGTGAAGTTAAATAATAGCAATTTTAATGGAAAGAAATAAAGGGCAGTACTGAGCGCTGGAGCAGATCTAGAAGGTGGGCGCTTGCACACTCCCCGGTTGGAGTATAAATTGGCATAATTTGGGGAAGTAGCTGACCACAGTGAAGCTGGAGAAGCACGTGCCCTTTGACACGGCAATTCCACGTCTGGGAATGTGCCCCCGAGGAACCCCCACACAGGCACACATGTGCACAAGATGTCGATTCCAGCCTTGTTTCTGAAAAACTGGAGACGTACTTGTGAACCAGCATGGGAGGGAATAACACATCGTGTATGTTCACCCAAGAAAATAACTCTTACCAGTTGAAAGTTAATAAACCCAACCCCACATCAATCAACAAGGTCAATCTGGAAAATAATGTTGAAAGAAAATAACAAGTGGTACCATGGCGTGTAAGGTTTGAGTCCATCTATGTAAAATTTAAAAACACTCAACATAGAGTTTTCTGTCAATCTATTACTTATTGATCCAAATGTTAATGGTAAAAGTATAAAAAAAAGCATGGAAATCATGTGCACTGATGGTTGTGGTTCCTAAGGGAATGGGGGCGGGGATGGGGCACAAGAGGAACTTCAAGGGTCATATTATATGCCTTAAAAAAAAAAAGATGAAGCCAATTTGGCAAATCTGGGTGCTGGGTCCACAGGCAGTGGTCATATTCTTTTCTGCACTTAAAATTTTTGCCAATCTGTGTTGAGTGGTTTTCATGTTTATTGTGTTTTGCTAGTTCCCATTTTTTTCTAAGGGCATTGACAATGGAAGTTGAAATAAGGTGTTGTCTAGAAGAGGGTCAAGAGACACCTGGACGGAGACACCCTTTTTTAGGTAGGCAGGTCTCCAGCTTTGAAGCCAGAGCAAGCCTGGCTGGGTTGGCGAGGCGTGAGGGGATGGAGGCCCTGGAGAGTGGAGCCTGCCCCGGTCATGGCTGGGAGGCTTGTCTAGCTCACACTGAAGAGAAGAGAGGCCTGGAAAGGATACCTGGTGTGGTGAGAGGTGGGCAGGGGGAGGGTGGTGAGAAATCAAGGAGGATCAAAGTTTCGGGAGGGAAGTGGGGTGAGCAGGGCCATGTGGGGTGAAGTTGCTCAGTGAGATCCAGGCTAAGGGTTCCCTCGGGCTTGCCACACAGTGGTCTTAGGTACCCTTGGTGAGGCGGTGTGTGGGGTGTGATAGAAACATGAGTGCAGAAGCCTGAAGGGAGAGGAAGCAGGTGTATAGGACACATTCGAGGAGGCAGAGATGGGGCTGAAACCTGGAGGCGGGGGGGGGGTGGGGTGGGGTGGGGGTGGGGGGGGGGTAGGGGCAGGCCCTGCAAAGACTAGGGAAGCTGAGGGCACCTCAGAGCAAGTGCTGAGTGTTCCTGGTGTCCCCCACTCAGGACTGTGGTGCACAGGGAAGCTGGCCCTCGGTATCCTCTGGTGCTAGCTCATGGTGTGCGGCCAGTGGGCTGTGGATGGTGGTCAGCAGGGGTGCAGAGGACCCCAAGTGGCAGTAACACAGGTTAGGATTACTGCTGTGCGTTTTTACTGCTGTCCCCTTCGCCTGCCTTCCTGTCCCCCACAGCCTGCTCAGTCCTTTCCCTGTGGTACTGAAAGGCAGTTTCCTCATGTCTGCCTGCAAAGGCGGCTCTGCCCCTCCCCACGCCCCACAAAAGCTTCAGATGTCAGGCCCATCCTCAGCTTGACATGCAGACACCTTTTGTGATGATGTCTCCCTGTCCCTCCGCTGCCTCAGCTCCCTGCTTGTGAGCACTGTTCACCAGCTGCTAGAAGACTCCACAGACCCCTCTCAAGCAGACATATCGCCCGCTCTGTGCTCACCTGTGCTAATCCCACTGCCTTTGCAGGATTTCAGTGATCACCTGTCTCCAGGGCTCCCCTAGAGCATGCAAGCATGCATTGTCTCCAGGACCAGGAGGGCCAGCACACAGCAGGGGCTCAAGGGGAAGGGCAACTCAGGCACACAGCAGGGAGGCCAGCATCAGCCTGGAACCTCTCCGCAGCAGTCAGATGCTGCACTTTTTGGAACTGGCATTGAGCAGAAAAATGATTTAGAAGGGGGGAGGGGGTGGCGGTGGAGGGAGTGTTTATTCAATAAGGGATAGCACTGGCCTCCTGGCTGAGGCTCCTGGGAAACTGTACCTGGTAAGCCTGTGAAACTGAGCACATTAGAGTCTTCTATAGTTAAATTTGGAATTGGGATGAGGTAGGAAAAATCTATGCTCATTGAATACACAGTGCAATTGTCTGTCAGTGCAGGAACTGAAGTATCTGCGGCAAATTGTATTTAAGACTCTATTGTCACAGGCAGATTAGCTAATGCTTGATTTTAAGTATAGGCTTCTAATGCTATTACTCCTGGTTAGCTCTGCCTGGCAGGTAACCTTGTGGAACAAATGACTGCATTGCTTGAATAACATATTTGATCAAACAGGACAATTCTTTCAAAAATTGAGTTCTCTGTGGCAATTTGAGACCTGTAATCAGCAAATTAGATGATTACAGCAGGGATAAAAATAGTCTTCTAACAATGTCCAAGGTATAAATGTGATTTGAATTTCAAAATGTTGAACATGTGGTAGGAAAATGCACGGTTGGGTAAATATGACTAGACATTATCAGATTTGATTTCTTTCTATCCCTGCTCTAAGCTAGAGCCTAATTTTGCCTGGAATAAACTCCAATCTTATTTGTGTCTGAGTTAGAGGTTAGAAGCACATCTCAGCACTGTACTCCAGATCTTAAAGGGCTCCACAGCTTTCTTGCTATGACATGAAGCCTGTGACACAGAAAGCCGTCCAACTTCCACACAGGGAAGATGGCCCTGGAGAACCTTCAGCACCCACCACCTCCAGACAGGTGCTTCTTTCTTAGGCCCAGGGAAGACATGAGAGCAACTCTTGTGAGGCCTAGTGACTTCTGTGAGCCGGGATGTGGTGCGCTCGGCCACAGTCCAGTCAGCCTTCACGGCTGGCCACTAGGCTACTCCTCATCTAACACAGGAAGTCACTAGTCTCTGGGTCCGTCCTGCTGAAGCATCTGAGCATTTATTCACCCAGGTTGACCAGAGCTGCCAATTTCACCTGGCCTCAGCTGGGTTTACTGAATTATAGAGCAAAAACGATTGGGCAGGGCCTCCCCGGTGGCACAGCGGTTGAGCGCTGGGTTGCGAGGCTGCCCGCGGCCTCTGCGGCGCCAGTTCGATCCCCAGCTGCTCCCCGGCCACCTGAGGAGGGTCCCGCATGGCGCGCAGACCTCTCCTGCCGCCCGCTGCTCCCCTCAGCAGTGTACTTTGGTCCTTCTGCCTGCTCTGCTCCCCGCTCTGGCTCTGGTGAATTCTCTCACCCTCCCGCGCTTCTGACTGTACCCAGTGCATGTATAAACAAACAAAACAAACAAATAAATAAATAAATAAATAAACAAAACATGCCTCTATAAAAAAAAAAAAAAAATTAAAAAAAAAAAAAAACGATTGGGCAAATGGGTCTATAGAGCCAACTACTTAGGGGCCAAAGTTTGTATTGACTACTGGCAGATGGAGGATGCTCTTTTAAGAGCACAGCTTAATTTTACACATTAATACACATGAATGGCTCTTAAGTTTTCTGGCAGAGCCACAGAAAAAGACTATTATGGGTTTTACTTACCCATCCGGGACTTATCTTCTATTAGTACAGATGATTCGGAGATGCCTGTGACAACACTGTCATTTAAAAATATACCAATTTCCAAAGCTGTAATCCAAAAATTCACATATAAGATGCTCTCATTTCAGCACAGCCGAGAACACTCTGCAATAGGCTGTCTTGCCAAACAACCCATGAGTTATTATTTACCTCAGACATGCTTTCAAACCAGTGTTACCTCACATTTGTCAAGTTCTCAAACTTTTATAATAAAACTTTGAAAATAGAAATGTTTTCAGGGCCATATTTTTGCATAGAAAATGCCAAATGTAAATTAACCACTTTTAGGATTTACAAGTCACTTCCAAAAGATTGCCACTAAAAATTCACTGCTTTTTAAGGCGAGAGCATGTCTGCTGAGTTGAAGAAATAACTAGTTAGAAGTACCATTTGACTAAATACCATGACACACAGATTTATAACGCATTTATTCAGAAAATTGTATTAAAACTTGCCAAAACTGTAACATCACAATCTGAAAGTAGGGTCCCTCTCCAACTTCATAGAAATATGGTACAGATTTAAAATGGCTGTTTTTCAACTTCAAACAGATTTTCGCGAAATGAGATAAAATACCATGCTGAAAATAAGTGGTATTTGCTCATTTGCCCTCCCTTGTTATGAGCCCAAACATACACTCAAGTATTGTGAGACACAAAACTCGAAAGGCCACCACTTCTCAGGGTTCAACAAAACGGGCTATGAACTGTATACATTAGGCCTTAAAGAGGACAGTGACTGCTAGCAAGGCACTTGGTGGTCCCTCGATGGTGGGAACAGACCGGGTATCACTGGCTTTGAGTTGTTTTCTTCTTTGTAGTTTCTGGCTATTATGTTAATTAGTTGTCCAAACAAGAATACTTAGGCTAAGATTTGGATAAGGATGAAGAGAGTATTAAATACTCTTTAAGACCATTGACTTGTCCTAGGGACGAAATCATACCTAAGGATCCTCTTGCAGAGGTGACTTCACACCACAGCCACAGCCAGCGAGCCTGACTGGGGAAGCTCTGGTGCAAGGTGAGGCTCCGTTCAAAAGTTTTCTTCTAATTGTATTTGCTTGCAATGCTTGAGCTTCAAGAAGCATGAAGTTAAAAAAGAGAATTTGATATAGCCACATTCAAAATTGGCTTCTAAGTGAAATCACCAGACATAGCTCATTAAACCAGCTGTCTCAAAGACAGTGTTACCTTTATTAAAAAAGGGATAGACATAGCAGCACTTACAAAACAATAGTTCATAAAAGGCATTATACATTGTCAACTGATAGTGTAAAGAGGGCAGGCCTCAGCACAGCCAGTTGTGGGCTCCGCTTCACGATGCTCACAACCACCTGCTCCATGTAATAGGACACAACCCAGAACACCTGATGGGAGGCCAGCAGCAACATGGCACTCCTAAACTTCAAGCCTTTGTCATGTGTGTGAATAGTCAATCAAGTCAAGTATCACCCTCCTTAGCAGCATTTGGAGCACTCATTGGTGTTCTGGAGGTGGCTGGTGTACTTGACCCACTTATTAAAAATATCTAAGCATTCAATAAAAAACACTTCTCCCTGTCCAATGTCATCCACAAAAATGCTTCTGTTGTGGAAGAGAGATGCTCCTCCATTTAAACATCTGTAAAAGCTAATGCTCGCCTCCTCTGTAGCAGACACAGGAGGACTTGGAGCCGGCACCCGCGCACGACTGTCTTTGGTGGAGAATGCTGGTGTGGTCATGCTGTTCCCTGCCCACTGCTCTGCTTTTTACTGCTGTGTGGAGGGGTGAGGACCCCAGTGGGGAGAGGAGAAATCCTATTTTGTTCAGACAATATGGCTTGTTTTGCTTGGGCTTTGTCCTGTTAATAAAAATAAAAGAAAAAGGAAAAAAAAAGGTTAAAATGGGAAGAATATCCTTTTGGACCTACAGTGCACTTTTTCAATGGAGGAGAGTGAGGGGAAAATAGCAGAGTGAATCTAAAAGCCACTGGTCTTCTTTAGCATCTATTAACCAGTTTCTTTTTTCCAAGGAATTAAAAGGACTGGAGACTTTGTAGACTATCTGGAGCCTTCCTGAAGGAAGATGAAGAGGCTCTTTAGGCAGTTTTAACAATCTGTCTGGGAAACAAGAGTAGCACTGACCAGCAAATCCAAGCTGTTCATGTGGGTCTGGATGTTGTGCGCATCTTCAGCAGGAACTCCCCTGAAGTGCTTAAGTTTTGAACTTCCTGTCTCTCTTATAACCATGGCAAATGGCACCATCCACTTGACACACTTCTCTATATCACACCACTGATACCCTGTAATAAAAATGAATTTTAGGCTCAATATGAGGCCAAGGATGAGTTGTAAGTTTGATACGCTCTCTTATGAATGCACTATGCAGCCAACCTACCTGAAACCTTTTGCATCAATTCAGATGAAGAGAAATGATACAAGGCAGAAGCAGCAAGTACACCATAGGAAAATTCTAAGCAGCCAACATCCAGGACACAGAGATCTAAAAGCTATGGGGAAGAAAAGAACACTGAAACAGACGGCCAAACCATATCTCTTCTAGCTCAATCTAGTGGGGGTAGGTAGTCCCACAGGGGTCAGCAACGGCACCCCTTACCTCTGCAATCTGTATGAAGATTTGCTGGGGATACTGTGGCAATAGCACTTCACAGACATCATTTAGATATGCAACCTGCATGTATACATTCAGCCAGGACACAATGGTCAGGGGACTTAAACGCCACTTAAGAGCCTAAGGGAAAGAGAGAAAAGAGTCCAATGGTTGAGAAAAGAAAAAGGCATTAGGGTTCCCTTGGTCCTCTGAAAGAACTCAAAATGGAGCCATGCTCCTGCCACAATGTGTCCAGTTGGAGAACATCCAGATAAACTCACACAGAATGTGGAAAAGATATTATGTATGCATTTTAAAAAAGGACCAAGAAACTTAATTTGTAACTTACCTTCATAATGATTAATTCCATGTTAAGAATTTGATCTCCTGAACAAGCACCGTCGGTAACATAAGCAAACTGGTGCAACTTTGGAGGATAGATTTCCTAAAAGGAAACAAAGGGTACACACTATTAGGAAAAATCAACTTCTAGTTGTTTTAACTTACAATGTACATCCAAAATTATTCTTAGTATGCTGGCCTGGAAAGGAAGGGAGAACACACTGATGTTTGAAGGTTGAGCCTGTCTAATGACCCTCTTAATCACACCAAAAGTGTGATTAATTTTTTAAGATTAAGGCTCAATCAATGCTTAATGTTTTTGCTTAAAGAACTATATTAAGGGGGCCTCCCCTGGTGGTACAGGAAGTTGAGCGCCGCACTGTGAAGCGGTCCACAGCCTCTGCAGTGCCAGTGCGATCCCAGCCAGCTGGCGAGGGTCCCACATGGCGTGGCAGACCCCTCCTGTCTCGCCCACTGCTCCCCTCAGCAGTGTATTTTGTCAGTCTGCCTGTTCTGTTCCCTGCTCTATCTCTGGTGAATCCTCTTACCCTCCCGCGCATCTGGCCTGTGCCCTGGTTCTTGTATGAATAAATAAATAAATCTTAAAAAAAAAAAAAAAGATTGAATTTCATTAAAAAAATAAATAAGGGCCTCCCCAATAGCGCAGCAGGTTGAGCACAGCTCTGTGAAGCTGTCCGCAGCCTCTGCAGCGCAGGTTGGATACCCAGCCGGCCAAGGAGAAACCCACATGGTATGGCAGACCAATCCTTCTTGCCCAGGCTCAGCAGTTTGTTTCTATCGTCTGCCTGTTCTGTTCTCCACTCTGTCTCTGGTGAATCCTCTCACCCTCCCGCGCCTCTGGCCTGTACCCCAGCTATTGTATAAATAAAAAATAAATCTTTAAAAAAAAAGAACTATGGTAAACTAAATATGTTATATGCTCACTACTCATCTCTCTTCTTGGTTAACAGCTAGCCTTTTTTTGCACATGTCTTAACTTTAGAGAGTTTAATATTAGAAAAAATTAGGATCTGTATCACAGACAAATAGTTGGCCTCTTTCCCTAATCTCAGTGGCGTTGAAGAAACAGCATGTGCTACATAACACATAGCTGAAAATTATTTACCTCAAGTTTGGCAGCAATAAATAAAGATGAAATTCCAATAAGCTGTAGAAGTGTTTTTACAACATTTTGTTGTGTTGCCATATACCGATCAAAGAAGTCCTGTGCCAAGTAAAATGTCTCTCTGTGAAGTTTATATACTTCACATACCTGAAAAAATATTTCATAAGTTTTAGAACAATTATTTGAAGAAAGACAAAAACCAAAAAACTTGTCATGAGTTTTTGTGAAGGAAAATATAACCACATCAAGAGAACTTGGCTTTTCTGAAAGGATTATCTCATTTATTGCTAAGCACATACAGAATCAAGACCCACAACTCAGATAGGAGGACTACGTGTTCAGTGATCGAGAACAGTAACAGCGAAGGCTGGGGAAGGTATGTTCACAGTCAGATGAAAGCATCATTTTCACTGAAAAACTCTGAATTTTCTCAAAGACTAGTGTGTCAATATAAGTTTCATTATGACTTAAAAGAACTAACATTTCTTCACAAATGGCCATCATTGCTATGAAAGTTTAAAAGCTGGTTGGGGCCCCCCTGGTGGCGCAAGGGGTTAAGTCTCAGTACTATCAGGCTATCGCCAGACACTGCAACACGAGAATCCCCGGCCAGGTTGTTGGCGCACATGGCATAGCAGACCTCTCCTGTCTGGCCCGCTGCTCCCCTCAGCAGTGTATTTCAGTAGATCCGCCTGTTCTGCTCCCCACTCTGTCTCGGTTGAACTCTCTCACCTACCCTGCACCTCTGGGGTACACCCCAGTTCATGTATGCATAAATAAATAAAAATATATCTTAAAAAAAAATAAAAAGAAAGTTTAAAAGCCAGAACATAATTTACTTAATGACAATATACCCAAAAAACACTGTTAATCTGTTCATCACAAAAGGCAAATTTTAAAAAAGCATTAAACAAGATTCAGAAACCTCTGCTCTAGTTTAGGCTCTCACTTGGATATACCCATTTAATTCAAACCATAAACTTAAGAAAAACAGCCCCCCTGCCTATCTCACAAGATTTGTGTGACTTTATGGGGACAGTATACGTGGAGTTGAAAAGGGATGAAGCAGGGAAATACCAAACCTCAATGCATCACTATTATCGAAGGCCTAACTTTGCATCTAAATCTGCTGTTCCTAAACAGAACATCCCATACAAGCACAAGACACAGGGTGAGTAAGTAGAAAAGATACCAAAGAAACAATGGATCATTAGTAAGAAATTCTGTCAACCACCACAGAATATTCCTAAAGTCCGGGGGGGTGGGAGCATATTTAGAGTCAGTTGTGTAAAGCAACACAGCTGCCATCTGAGTGGGCAGTAAAGAGCACCCATTCTCTGAGGAACAAACTCTCAGACCTATTTCTCCAGTTGATGACTAGACTCTTGGCATGCGTGTCCTCTTTCTCATATACAGACTTCTTGGCTAGGCCAAGGGCTGAGAAACTTAACATCACTGCAGACAAGTCTGCCTGTAAATCCAAAGACATGACAAGGAATCCAAAGATATAAAGGTAGCCGTTCTTGTCTATCCTTTCCCAAAGGCATTACTTAAAAAAATTAAAAAAATACTTAGTAATACAGAAAAAAGAAGTACAGTAAGCCCTCACTTAACATTGTCAGTAGGTAGGTTCTTGAAAACTGCAATTTTTAAGTAAAATGTATAATGAAGCCAAATAATGTCATTAATAATGTCAATTCATATAAAGTTGGCTGGGATTCTTTTTTTCTCATGACCGTCAAGCAAAAAGACATTTGTTATTTAAGACCTGCTCTATATGCCATCAATTGCCCCTATAAAAGAGAAACCTTCTACTCCTGATGCCTTGAGTTGAAGTCTGAAAAACTGAAGCCCACTCGAGCTAATGCTTCAAGGCACTGGAAGATGCTCCAGGGGGCAGAGATGGTCTACGTGTTGTGCCAGGTCTCTCTGGGCAACGTGAGAACTGCAGTATCTAATAATTATCTACCAAATTTGTAATACTTGCTCTTTGATCAGCTGTGGCAGACAACTATGATCAATATGATCAAATACAATTGATAAAAGAATCTATTATCAGGATACAATTCTGTCGGGAGAGAGAAATGGATTCCAAGGAGCTATGAGCAACAATTTAAGATCTCTGATCATTAAAGATAAATTTGTTCATATACTTAAACATATATGACTTATAACTACCAAACCGGATACATTTTAAAGCAATTTAATTAATAAAGATCAAATACTAATACTTTTAGCTAACGGAAAATAAAACCACTGCAACTATTTAAACTTTGATGAAAAAAATTAGATGTAAACTTAAAAATGTTTAAGGAGCAAAAAAAGACTTCAGAAATTCTCTTCAGGAAGTACAAAAGCAGAAAAGTTAGGTCACTGTAGTGTATTTACCATAGCTTCAGAGATACAGAATGTGTTGATGGAATCAGACAAAGGAAGAGAGAAAACCAAGCCATCACAGAAGATTCTAGAAATGATCAATGCCTATGGTTACCAGGAAGACTCAAGCTTACCTCCATTAACCAATCCAGGAGAATTGTTCTCATTTTAGGCTGCAGAAGGGGGTGCCGCTGCATAAAGTGCTTATCCCTTAAGTACGTTTTTTCCTTGTTTAACATGATTTTCCAAACCTCCTCTCTATTTGCCCAGCTAGGAAAACAAAACCAAGCACAAAAACAAAAAAGAGAAGTGTCAGTATGCACCCACACTACCAATGGGACAGTGCGCACACAAAGCAAGAGTTCTGGAAGGCAGCTGGCAGTCAACTTACTTCAGTACAGGCAGTGGCGAGGCTCTGGATGGTGCGAAACTCTGAGGGTCATATGCAGAGCTTGGGTATACCAGCTCATCCTCTTCTTTGTCAGGTGTGGGAATCAAGGAGCAGGGGTTTTCACAGACTGTATTATTGACCCAAGGCTGTAAAAGAAAAGCACATTAAAAAATGTTGATGTAAAGCATATATTTTCATTGATTTGTACAATAGTCATCATTCAAAAAATGTCTTCACTTCACGCTAGAGAGTAAGCTCCAGTCTACATAAAGACAGAGATGGCCTAGTTAAATAAAAGTGACAGGAAGCTTTGATTTTATTTTTCATTAGCTTAGGAGTCTACAAGAGAAGAACGCAGTCGGTAACGCTTTATCTTCCATACCCTCACCCTCACGAGGTCCACGAGCAGCAAAATGCACAGAGGAGGAATAAGACAAATGCAAACAGTTCTTATCTTACAGAAAATCATGAAGTAAATCCATCAGTAGCTCAGTAAGATGCTGGAATGACTTCTAAAGTGCATTGTGGGATTACCTGGCTGTAATTCAATGATTTGTCTTTAATAAGTACAGATAATCTAAAATTTCTTAAAGGTGTAAGATAGAATTTCTAATAAAAGTATTTATATAAGCATTCCACATTCACAAGTATAAAAGATCAAAAATGTAAATCGATTTCCATCTATAATTAAAGTCTCCTTTCTTTGAAACAAATACCTATCAAATGTGACATATTCCTTTGGTGGCAGGGCTCGCTAAACATATTACATAATGGGGATCTTTTGTTTTCCTTAAATCAAAACAAAACTCTGCCTAGTTAAAACCAAATCAAACAATGGCCACAGGATATACTAAGAAGTCCGCAGAGACAGAACACTCCTGGGGACCTTTGAATCCTGTCCCCAAAGCCTGCACAAAGCACAACTCAAACAACTGATAAAGTGAAAAAAATCACCATTAAAAAACAAGACAATATGCTTTTCTTTTAAAGACTCCGGATACTTAACTTGATTCAATTTTCAATATTTGTAAAATACTGTCATTTAGAAAATGTATCTTTTTAAAGGTCATACTTATGCCCTCCTCTTAAAAGAAGACTGTGATAGATTTTTAGTTATAAAAGTGAGTTTGCTGAAGACATGGCAGGTAACAATCCCACCAGCATGGAAGTCCTTGGCATTTTTTTTTAAAGTAGAGAGATCATTAATGTTGACTGGAAAAGAAGAGACAACTAAGAGTTGACTGTAAATGAACACGGCAACATGGGCTCTCTGTGCTGCTTGGAAGAAAGGGTACAAGGTGGCTCTCACAGCACACCAGCCTCTTTCAGAGGAAGTCCAAGCACTTTCAGTATACTGAGAAGGGCCAAACTTCAGAATAAAGTTCTTCACCCAGTGTGCAAGGAATTGGACATGCAAATTAACCATGACAGCTCTTGCCAACAGCTGTTCAGAAAGGCAACCTCCTTTTCCAGTTCTAGTATCATGTGCTGGTAACACTTCCTTGACTCAAAAAGGGTCACATTACAACAGCTCTAAGTTGTTCATTCAAGAACGAATTCTAGTTTGGACGGCAGAAACTGGGTGCCACCCTCTTACAGCCAGATGGCTGACCCTGCTGAGAGCAGGCCTTTGCAGATAAACTGGTAACAGTTCCCAACCTGCAGTTCAAAGACAAATTAGGTGAACCACAACTAGACAAATGGTACCCTAAGACGGTCTTTTTCAGAATCAGTTTATGAAACAGAATAGAAGTCTACTTCCTTTAACTTCCATTCACACCAATTCACAAGGGAAGCAAAAGCAGTCTGACTTTAGGAAGAAATGGAAAAAGAGCAAGAAACCAATTTTGACTATTCCTAACCACCCCTGACTTCCTTATGCCACTTTTAATTAAGACTAGAATTACCTTATGCCAAATTATGTTCGGAGAACTAACTAATAGAAAGTCCAGGATGCCACTTCAATAAAAAAGTTGGGCTGGATGCATAAAATTAAACAACAAAATGGATATGTTCAATTTAGATAAAAGGGTATTCTTTTCATTAAGAAAGGCCTGAGGTAAGAATCATCATAGGTTCTGTGTGGTCTTGATGAAGCGGTTACATGGAGTTGAGCATGATGGTTACAAGTAGCTCAAGGCTGTTGAACTGGGCTGAACTATGATAACTCCAGAGAAAAATTCTGTATAATTGGAAGGCAAAAGATTCTGTGTTACCTCAACACTTGATCTTCATAAATCCACAGAGATAATAAAACACTGACTGTGCCATAAACAGATGGAAAATTTTCAAGCTATCTACTCTACAAAATGTGCAGAAACCTGTTGTCACCGATCTCTGGACAACCAAGAAAATGCCTTCTAGTGGGAGATGATAATGGCTATTCATATGTCACAGCTATCAACTCCGATAGTCTGGGGATAGGGTCATAGGTTGTGGGCAACCCAGGCACGGCTCAGGTTATCCTCAAGAACATAAACTACTCCAAAACTGCAAGAATATGAACAGTGTTGTGTCATTCCCAAATGGAAATTTCAATCAAAACACAGTTGGGAAAATAAACAATTACGAATCCCACAAACTAGAGATCTATATTATAATACCCACAAAAAAATCAGCTTGCTTGGTTTGCAGTTTTTTGGTTTTTAGGGGTAAAAAATGAAAGAAGTTTAAAGGTACTGTTAAGTTTCTCTTTTTTTTTAAAAGATTTATTTATTTATACAAGAACAGGGGTACAGGCCAGATGTGCGGGAGGGTGAGAGGATTCACCAGAGACAGAGCAGGGAACAGAACAGGCAGACTGACTGAAATACACTGCTGAGGGAAGCAGCGGGCGAGACAGGAGAGGTCTGCCGCGCCACGTGGGACCCTAGCCGGCCGGCTGGGATCGAACCTGGGCTGCAGAGGCTGCGAACAGCTTCACAGCACTGCGCTCAACCGCCTGCGCCACCAGGGAGGCCCTGTTATGTTTCTCTTCCTAAATTGAGGTATTTCTTCTAATAGAGAAGGAAACCAGTGTAACTTCCCTGAAATGCTAACTACTGGGGTCTTCTTTGCAATGACAACTGTTATTTCAAACAGCACGACCCACCACTTTGAAGGCCTTCGTTCTTCCAAACCCAGCTGCCATGGCTGTTGCACACTGCTCTACAAAGTAATACGCTGCCAACTGCAAACCTAGCTGGGACTACTGCCCTTAGTTCAAATACTATTCCTGCTCAGCTTTTATCTGTGATAGGGTCAGGCCTGATCAGCTACTTTGGAGACAGACTGCTTCCCCTACTGGGCCATAACTACATACCCCAGCCATCTCTGGAGGTAGAGAGATAATAAAAGCTTTTTTCTGCTAGTAACTTCTGATATTAGAATGATATCATGAGCATGCAGGAAGTTTGGCGGTAACTCTTAAAGGAGGGGCAAGAGAAATGGACTAGTCAATCAAAAAAAAATGTGCTGAGAATACACAGAACCTTCTACTAATACTCTAGCTGAGGTCAGGTGGAGTTCCAGACAGCAGTGGGCACTGCAGGTAATTGCTGGATGGGCTGGAAGAACTTTTAAAGAGGGGGTGATCTGAACTCTGACCTACAGGGGATGGGAGAGGGAAGTCCTTAAGTACAATGATGAAAAATGACAAGTATGGGTGGGGGAGAAGTCACTGCATATGGATGCAAACCCCCCACATCATCACTGTTATCCAGAGTTCTGTGTCAGGAGCCCTCCCCCCAGTTCACCAGCTCAGAGACAAGGCTGCAGGCGGACTCCGCCCCTGGCTTGCACAGGACTCAATTTTTTTTCCCCTCTGAGTCTGTTTCCTCAAGGGCAAAAGGAGAGGACTGAGTTATTTGATGTCCATTCTGGTTCTTCCAGACATCAGTGCATATTTGTAACATCAGGAGTGCGGGTCAGGAGCACAAGTCCTTCCCAGAATCCCAAGGCTATCAGAGGTAGGTGCCTACCCACAGACACAGTGCTCAGGGCTCTGGACTGTGACCACAGTGACAGAAAGAGCCTTCAGTAGGAGGTCGGGAGTACTGAGATGCAACTGGACCCACCAAGAGCAGGCGGCCCTCCACCTAGGCCCAACCAGCAAGTGGACCTACCTGATTGCCACACTGGCTTCTCACAGTCTGGTCAATTTTGGCAATTTCTTCATCCGGATCCTGCAAAAACTACCATAAAACGCCCCCAACCCCAGGAAACACCACACAGGTAGGTGAAAGACAAACACAGAGAAGAAACGGAAAGTTGATTAGATTAGATCATAAACCCCATTTGTGCCAATCACACCTCCCCTCGACCCCCTATCAACAAATAGGTGGCAGAGCCCAGTCAGGTGCCCAGGTAAGATGGGGGAAGGGGTACTGGATGCCCCCCCACCTGTCCCCTTTGTACTCACAACGGCCACATTTGCCTTTCTTTTCCTGGAGCGAACAGAGACATCAGTGCAGCTTTCCTCTTTCATGGTGTCCAGTTCCTTCGCAGCCCTGCAAGGCCAGGGTTGGCACAGAGGATAAGTGTGAGTTCACCCCAAATCTCGGCCCACCCCTCCCCCACCACGGGGCACCCTCCCCTCCCCAGCAGCGGCCGGGCCACTCACCTCTCCCTCCTCTCCCTCGGCATGGCGCGGGGTCGGGCGTCAGGCCTGGGGGCACGAAGCGGACAGTGAGGTGAGCAAGCTGGGCGCTGGGCGCCAGGGCCGGCCGCCCGCCTCGGACACCCCTCCCCCTCCCGCGCGGGCGGCGGCGGCGGGAGCCTCCCGGGCCGGCCGGGAAAATGGCCGATGGGCCCGGGGTGGCCTGTCACCCGCAGTGCCGCCCGCAGCTCGCGATGCCGGGTCCGAACTCAGGTTGGGGGGGGTTCCGGACGCCCCCCGAAACTCCAGGCGTCCCGCCGGCTCTCTCGGGGCCCGGGCTGCCTCAGTCTCCCCGTCAACACCTCCCCACGGCCGGTCCCTGAGCCCCCCCCGGGGGCTCCCCGCGCTGACGCCCGCGGGGACGGGGCGCCCGGCCCTGCCCCACCCCCACCCCGCCGGCCCGGCCCGGCCCGACCCGGGCGTTCTGGAAGTCGCGGCCGGCCGCGCTCGCGGGCACCCGGCGGCGGGGTCCTCACCCGAAGCCGTCTCCGCGGCGGGCGGCCTGGCACGAGCCGAAGTCGGAGGCGGGAGGCGGCGGCGGGCGGGCGGGCGGCCGGGCGGGGAGGCGGCGGCGGGCCGAGCGCGCGGCGGTGGCGGGATCCGCGCCTGCCCCCTACACCGCGCTGGCGGCCGAGCCGGCTGCTCCTGCGCCCGGCTGAGAGCGGGACATTTAAAAATCCCTGCGCGCGGAACCGGCCCCCGGCCCGCCCTCGCGCCCTCCCGCCACCCTCCGCCCCGCCCCGGCCGGGCTGGAGCCCCTCAGCGGCCGCCCTCAGGACCGCCCCGCGGCGGCTCAGGCCAGCCGAGGCGCTCGGCGGCGCGCGGGGCGGGCCCGGGCGGGGCGGGGCGGCCGCGGCGGGGCGGGGCCGGGGCGGGGCCAAGTGACAGGGCCTGCGCGCCCTGGGGGCGGGGCCGGCGCCCGCCGCGGGGCCTGCGCGGCGGAGCCTTGGAGAGGGACGCGGGGGCCGCCGGCGCGCGGTGAGGGGGCGGGGCCGCGCCGGGCGGGACGCGGGAGAGCGCTGGCGCGAGCGCGAGGGGGCGGGGCCCCGAGCCACGGGGGCGGGGCCGAGCGGCGCCGGAGCGGCAAGAAGTCGCGTGGCCGGCCCCGGTGGAATGTAAACACCGGGAGCGGCGAGGGTTCGGGCGCCTGCAGGGGTCCGGCCGGCGGCCAGCGGGGGCCCGGCGGGCAGCAAGGGCCCGGGCCTGGGCCGAGCGCCCGCCGTGGGTCGGCCTGCGGCGCGCGCGCACGGTCCCTCCTTGCACGTCCTCCCCGCCCCCAAGACGCAGGGTTCCGGGCCTGGAGTCCCGGGCGGGGGTGGCTCAAGGTCACGCCATCAGGTCGCGGGGCCTGGAACCTGGGGCTCGGGCCGCCAGGTGTGGGGCCTCCAGTGGCCCCGCTGTCATTCCTGGTCGCAGGTCCTTACAGCTCTTAATGCAGGCGTTTATTCTGGTAACTAATGAGCCCCTTCCACGTGCTCCCTCTGGGGGTGCCCCTGCCCCCCCAAATTCTGAGCATTTGAAGACCTTTCTGATGCTGGGGTTCCCATGCGGCCCTCTCTAGAGTGTTCCCCATCTGCCATAGGATCAAATCCACACTCCCTGATCTCAAAGCTGACGCACCACCTCAGACTTCCTCTTCACCCCTCCCCACTCCAACTCCATACCTCCTCCTCGGGCCACCCTAGGTCCTTCCTCAGCTCTGGACCTTGGCGTTTTTCTTACGTCCTTCCTGAGAACACCTAGGTCTTTAGTGAGCACTTAACCTAGAGCACCTCTCTTCTTGGCAGTTCCGTCCCACCTCATCACCCCGCTCTCACAGCACTCTCTTGCTACTTCCTTCCTTGCTGGTGTCCCGTGGGCTCCTTACCTTGTCTGTCCTGCTCACAACTATATCTCCCAGCTCTTGGCATAGTGCCTGGAGGAAGCGGGGGAGGGGAAAGAGGGGGGGGCGGGCACTTGACTTGTATTTGTGAAATGAATACTTGAGAAACATACACTGACTAAGTTTTTATGCTGCTTACAGGCTAGTGGAGACTAACAGGTATTGAGCAACCGTGACTTCAAAGTGCCTTCTGCACTCAACTTCTTTTTCTGATTTAAGCATTCTCAGCTCCCCCCACCCCCAACATGCCTGTCTTCTTGAAGTTAGAGCCAGTGTCTTACGGAAGCCCATGTCCTGTCTCATCATGAGTCCCGGGTACCAGATGATCTGAGGCCAAGGCTGCTGAGATGACTTGCTCAGGTTTTCTTAGGCACCTGGGGAACCCAGGCTCCTGAAATCCCAATCCTCTGCCTTTTAGTGGTAACAATTTACAAGTATCATAAACAGCATTTCCAAAATGGCAGCTTTGGCCTAAATCCATCAAAGTTATCTCACTTTAACTTCACAATAATCCTATGATGTTAACACCTTGATATACCTGTTTCACACAGGTGGCAGCTATCTACCTCCTAGGGCCATTCTGAGGGTTAAGTGAGATAATACAGATGAAATCAGTATAGTGCCTGGCATGCAATTATTATAACAGTGGCAGACAAGACATGCTGTGCAAGGCTTGGTTACCCTTCAGATCAAACATGGGGCCATGGATTCTGGGGGGAAAAGACTAGCAAACCAATAGGCGGTCCCACCCCTGGCTTAATCCTATCTTAGACCGAGCAGCAAGTCCAGTCAATACATCATTAGCAGACTGAGATCAATTAAAAAACTCCAGTGAAAGTGAAAATTAACCTTTGGAGTTAGTATATGATAGAGCAAGGATGACAGCTGACTTTTATGGATTTGGAGTTAAGTTCGGGTTTGTCAGAGCAGAGACTAATTTGAAGACACTTCAAGGAGGGGGCTGGTTAGTTATATACCAGGTCACCCCATGGTATGGGCTAAGGCATAAGAGTGCTTGCTTCTGTATCTGACCATTATGTCCCTAGCATTCATAGGCCTCATTTCAGGTTGTCGGAAGACAGAACTGCAAGACGTAGAACCGGGTCTCAGGGAGCAAAGGCCCTGCCATCTCCCTTCCAGTCAGGCTCACAGTTTCCTTAAAGTACTACTGACCTTTGATTGGGGTGAGGAGGGGCTTGACCAGGTTACCACATTCCTCACCATGTGATTGGTTTAAGGGTAGGTACATGACCTGAATTAGGCCAGTGAAAATCTAGAGTTGCTAAGCAGATATGAAGTTGTCCTGGAACCAGAGACCATCTTGCCACTAAGGATGACCTTTCTCAGAGAGAAGTCCTTGAGGGATGGGGGATATGGGGGCAGGGTAGAGGTGAGGGAAGCAGGCTCTGATCCATTGAGCTCCTGAATCCAATTAAGCCCTAAACCAGATTACTAGGCACTTTCTGGATACTGCAGCCAATTATTGTCATGTGTTTATTTAGTCAGTTGGAGTTGAGTTTCTCTTAACTTGCAACAAGAGTCATGAATGTGATGGTGGGTAAGTGCAAGAGCAATGAACTATCACGTTTTGTCTATATGCCCACCAGAGAGCCTCTCAGTGGCCCCTTGACCTATTCAGGCTCTTCTCTATAAGGTTTATAAACCCACACTGGCATACCTAATCTGCGCCTGTTCTAGGGGTGCCAGTTCTGGGTAACTGTCTCAATTTTTCAGGAGCCCTGATTTCCCTGGCAACATTGCTCAGTCACTTGCTTACATCAGTCACATGGAAATCCACTCAGGAACCCCAGTCAAGTGCCAGTGAGCCTAGGGAAGACTGGCTTCACCCTGCCCTCTAGAAGCTCCTAGGAATGCTTCCCACCCTCTGGGGCAAATGGAGCTAATGTGCAGGACTCACCCCAAACATGACTGGATAAAGGTCACAAATTGACACCAAGTGGCCCATAGAATGTTTGCAAAAAAAAAAAAAAAAATGAATTCCTGTATACATGAGGGTTTCTGACTTGTTGAGCAATCAAATGATTTGGCAAAGCAGGGCCCACATCGTGAGGGCGACAGCAGGTGTCTGATCTCCTTGGGAGGGGCAGCTTCCCCCTGTGTCTTTGCTGCTTTAGGCATCAAATGGGCCACTGTAGTTATCTGACCTTGAGACCCCCACCTGGGGTTTCAGAGCTGACCCAGAGCCTGCAGAGTGGGGTAAAGAAGAGCGAAGGAAGAAGGTACTGAGAAGGGCTTGGATTGGGAGTAACCTGGGCCTAGAGGCCTGAACATTCCTCAGAGCCCAGCACAGGGTCTGGACAGTCAGGTTTGCTGAATAAATACGTGGATGGATGAATGGATAGGGGGCAAAGGTGAGAGGTGCAGAAAACCTTTTCCAGATGGTGACAGGAAGCAGAGGAGGCTGTGTGCATGGAGTGGGGAGCACATTCTTTTTCTGAGAACTACCTTTGGCTGGTGTGGGGGGCCATAGGCAGCATCCCCACCCTCCCACCCTCTCTTCTCCCTCAGAGCTTCTGCACCTTCTACCTTTCATTCCAAATTCTGTTTTCCATTCACTTATTTGCTTGAAAAGGAAAACTTCTGTCCCTACCCTAAGTGGCCAGTCAGCATCCTGGGGACAGAGGAGGGAGCACCGGTGTCTGTGACTGTGGACAGGCCCTGTGAGGCAGCCAAGAGCCTGAGGCCTGTGTGTTCTGTTTCTGAGTCTTGAGTGCTCACCATGACATTAAGGAACCCTCTTTCTGTTTCAAACAGGAGACGACTGTATGACTTCACCATGTGAGGTAACTGGGGGGTCAGATTCAGAGAGAGAAAGGAGAATGGGGGGTGGCCAGGCTGGGGGAGGGAGGTGTTAGTGCTCAGTGAGGACAGTTTCGGTTTTGCTAGAGGAAAAGTTTCTGATGCTGGACTGTGTGATGGCTGCTCAGAGTGTGAATGTATGTAACTGCACTTCCAAATGGTTATGATTTTACCACAATTTGAAAAGAAAAGGAGCTGAGCAAACAATAGAGAAGTGGCAAAATCCACCCCGGCTTTAAATTGAGGCTCTTTCCTGGGTGAAGCAGACCATGCGAAAATATCGAAGTGGGGATGACTTCCTTGCTGTGTGATGTGCCATTATTTAAACTGACAGATGCCACCATGGGCAGAGGAAGGAAGGGGATAAATAGTGGGTGGGGTGTAGGAAGGCCGGGGGGTGGGCAGCCCCCTCTCAATGAGGACAGTGGCTTAGGTGCCACTGTGCCACAGCAGGAGGGGTCCTGAAACAGAGGTGGTAAATCAAATAGGCCTGGGGATGCCCGGGGGCTCCTCTTGGTTTGATGTTGAGACCAGCTGTGATCATATAACCGGAGTGGTTACACTCTGCGTTGTGATGTTGAGAGCAGAGTTGGAGCTTGACTGCTCGCAACCTGAAGAGATGAACTTGACAAGGAGGTTTAAGAGATATGGGTTAGAGAGGAGGAGCAGCAGAATTGCTACCAAGGGTTCTAGTCTCAACATTAAATTCTTTCCATACCAAGACAAAAAACAAAAGGAGCCCTCGGGGGCTCCTGGGGGCCTCTCTTACTGTGCCCATGGAGTACCCTGCCCACATTGGTATTCTTTTTTTTTTAAACA